TGTGTATCGTGTTTATTTATAGATGCTTGGGAAGGAGTAAACGGGGAACCTGGTGACTATGAGGGGGCAGCAAGGCCACTATGGCCCCCATAGGTCACCTTTTTGGCACTGAGACTAGGTGGTACAGACATTTTAAATCTAACAGATATATTAAATTACACCTTGAAATAGCGATCCTTCAAATTTTGAGATTGCTTTCTCTGTGAGGAAAGTATCATAGGGCTCGAAGTAGAAACCTCTGAGATTATAAAATGTAAGTTTTACGGGAAACAAAACTTCCATTGATACTATACAGACAACCCCTTGACTAACCTCCTGGTGTTTTTCCCGTCTTTTTCAAGCGCATCATTAAAAAAACATAAGGCATCGCTTCTCGGCCTTTTGGCTAGGACCAGGTGTAAAAATAATATATGGCAGTATGTTTTGTACTCCTTATTTTTTCGCTGAAGCGTACACTGTTTCTCATGTCATTAAAACTCTATTAAAGAACCCTGTGTAACAAACAGGAATCGTTAATGTGTGGGCGCGTCCCGAGTCCGTGATCCATTCCCTTCCTGCAGATAGGTCACAAGGTATGATTGGGTGAGATGGACTTGGATTTCTCCTCTGGAAGCTTGGGGTGCCTGTGGCGCAGCCCTGAGGGCTGGGCGAGATGGGGACTGTGGAGCCTTTGCTCAGTTCCCGGTTCTGCAGAAATGCACAAAACACACACTGGCACCCGTCGTCCTGACTTCTTGTTATCGATGTAACAAATTATAACCGAGGCATCTTGTAGAGCGTTTAGACACAGGTTTTTGGATCTGGAGGGTGTTTGCGTCTTGGTCCTCCCTTCCAGTAGTTTTCCAGCGTGTGGAAAGCTTCATGATCAATTTACATGACAAGGATGTTCTCTTTCAAGGTCCTCTGTTAATTTTTCCAGTTAGGGGCGAGGAGGAAGCTTTGGTTGTGGGATGGTCTGACAGCTGGAGAGGTTAAACCTTTCTTGCGCTTGCTAATCTCCGTTTTTAACCAAGACACCCCGATTTGGGGCTTACAGCCTTTAGGTAGGCAAGAGCATCTAACCAGCCTTTAGTGTTACAAATTCACTCCCACCGGTTTTTGTTGTGTTTTCGCTTGGTTTGTTTTTCCACCACTTTCTTCTATTTATGGTATAAGATTTTTTTTTGTTTTCTATTTATGGCAAGGATAGAATTTATTTTTAATTTTTTTAAGAATTTAATGTAATTTAATACCATGTAATATAATTAAATTATAATTTATTTAAATAATTGAGTTACTGTTTAAAAATGAGGGGATTTAAAGGAAGGATCCTGAAGCTGCCACGGACCTGAGTTTGGGAAGCTCTCTTGCTTTACCTTGTGAGGGTCTCCAAGGAACATTCTTTTTAAAAATTTTATTTATTTATTTATTTTTAAAGGATTTTATTTATTTATTTGACAGACAGAGATCACAAGTAGGCAGAGAGGCAGGCAGAGAGAGAGGAAGGGAAGCAGGCTCCCCGCTGAGCAGAGAGCCCGATGTGGGGCTCGATCCCAGGACCCTGAGATCCTAACCTGAGCAGAGGGTTGATGCTTAACCCAGTGAGCCACACAGGGGCCCCTACAAGGAACAGGAGAGGATCCTTCAAGAGCAGCTGGCCGTGGAAGGAGGTCAACTCCAGCTTACCGAGTGTCCATGGCATGGTGTCCACTGTATGCCCTGCATTTTAACCTCTGGATGTCTTTTCGTTCTCCCAGCAACCCTTAGAAGCAGGGACTATTAGTGTCCCTGTGTGCCCCTGAGCAAACACCTAGAAGGGTTGAAGTTATGTGTTTAAAGCACAGAGCTACTACATCCATGACCAAGCTGGTCAACTCCAAAGCTGGGGCTTCACTGTGCCTCTGGAGGGAATTTGGAAGGATTTGGTAGTGGGTGGGGTTTTATATTTACATGTATGTGAATCATTAAAAGCCCACACTAAAAGGCACTGGGCGGCATGGTTAGGCAGGATTTCCAAAGCTGTTGCAGGCATTATACCTTCTCGATCAGTAAGCTAGGCCTTGCAGATCAGGAAATCTTTCTAACCACTACCAAGGCGCAAGGAGACTGACCTTGGAGTGGCAGCCTCTCGGTCTCTGGGAGGCAGGCTCAGGCTGGAAGGGAAAGATGGAAGACACTTGAAGGAGCTTGAGGGAGAGACGTGGAGGAGGAAGGCAGAAAGATGCAGGTGGAGCCAACCTTGACTGAGTGCTTGTCCCTTGCCAAGCCCCTTCTGGGCGCCCTACATGGGCTTCTCTGTAATCCCCGTTTCCAGCGAGGACTGGGCTCAGAAGTCACGATCACCTGGCTAGGAAGTAGCAGAGTGGGCACTACAGGCACCTACTGCTCCTCCGCACGGATCCTCAGGGGATGTAGTGTAATACTGATGCCGAAGAGAAGCTGGAAGGTTGCACGGATTCTGGACCTTCCCATCTGAAAATACTTCCCCGGCAACTTCAGGTTCCTTTTCCATAAACGGGGGCCAACATCGCCCCCCTCCCCAAGTTGCCAGGACGGAGATCGCATGAATTGCCAAGCTGCACGTAGATGCAACTTACGACCCTTCCTGCCTCCCACTTCTTGGCTTCCCTAGTTTTTATTGTCCGGTGTCTGCGAGGCCCTGCTCTAACTCAGTTTCCCCACTTCTTCCAGGACCCACGGAGAACAAATGCCAGGAGCTCTTGTGCAAGTGTGACAAGGAGATTGCTTACTGCCTAGCCCAGACTCACTACAACTTAAAGTACTTATTCTACCCCCGGCTCTTATGTGAGAAGGACTCGCCCCAGTGTGACTGACCAGCCTAACTTGGAATGTTCTTTCACATAAGGAAATAAAAACTTTTTCCAGTCATCAACAGCAGCTGCATTCAGTTCTTTGCAGGAGGGAACGGAGGCCAAGTGTGAAAGCTGCAAACCGTGTTTGCTTTCTCTCCCGGAACTTGGGGCTGAAGGCTGTGTGGCTTCCAGTTTAAGGTCAAAAGTCCCGTGATTATTTTATAAAACCACAACTATGCCTATGGCTGTATTGGGTTTGGTACCATTTTTGAGGTTCGTCCTTTATTGAAAAGGGCTGAGCTTTGTGCTCTAATCTGCTCCTGACAGCGGGTGGGCCACGTGAACCAACACCCACCATGTGCCTGGCCTTGTTTTGTGTTCCTGGATGTGGCAGTAAACAAGACGCCCATTTGTGGGGGCACCTGGGGGGCTCAGTCGGTTATGCGTCTGCCGTCTGCTCAGATCATGATCTCAGGGTCCTAGGATGGAGCCCCAGGTTGGGCTCCCTGCTCTGGGAGGAGCCTTCTTCTCCCTTTCCCTCTGCTCCTTCCCCCTGCTCGTGCTTTCTCTGTCTCTCTCTCTCAAATAAATAAAATCTTAAGGAAAAAAAAAAAAAAAGATGCCTGCTTCTGTGAAGCCCTAGTTTGGTAGTTCTGAGCTTAAGGAAGAATTCTCCATCCCACTCCACCTAACGGTTAAATTTCCTGGTTACAGAAGTAGTATATCCTCAATGCTTAAAAAGATAAAGACAAATATAAAGGAGGAAAAAAATCACTCTTTTTCCCACAATCCAGAATAACCACTTTCAGCATCTCTGTGTGCTATCATCAGAGTTTTCTACGATGCTTAAAAATGCCATTGAGACCATAGCATAGGATTTTGCTTTCCCCCCATGTCATTAAAAAACCTTTGGAAACTTCATTTTAAGTAACTGTACTACATATTGTTTTATAAATTGCCCACTTTTGGGGATTGGTGATATTTCCAGTTTTTATCGATTATTGACACGACAAGGATGCTAGTGAATAAACTTTGCCACATCCCACCACCCCCCTTTTCATTGTTCCTTAACCCAGTGTCATGCCCACGGGCAGGCCACCCCAACCAAGATGGGCTACTCTGGTATGAAGACTATTTTGAGCTGAAGGCAGCAGAGACCCTGCGGGCTCAAGAGAAACTTTTGTCCTTCCTTTAACTACTGAGAAAAATCTAAATTGGGGGTCTGTTCTAGAATGAGGGTTATTACCAGAGCTCAGTTTTATCTGAGTGGCCCATCTGCATGGGCAGGGCAAACAGCTCATTATCAAACATCTGCTCTTATCGTCTTGTGAATCACATTCCTTCCCTCTGATGGCCCATACCCCTAGCTTAGCTCAGGATGACATCTGGCCTCGTTTTGCCCATCTTTGGAATAGCCATGCCTGCATGGATTCCCTGTATGTACAACGTTAAGTTTGATTTTCTGTTGATCTGTCTCTTGTCAGTTTGATTCTTAGTCCAGCTAGAAGGACCCTGAATGGGGACAGGGATTCTTGCTGACCCCAGACTTGGCAGAAGTGCAATTTTTGTAGCAAAGGGCCTGAATATTTTCCATAAACATCCCCTTCTGTGGTACCCAAGCCCTCTATGATTGAGAGGGTCTGAGGGCGGAAAGAGGCAGCCAGCAGCCCTTCTCTCAATGTGCCTGCCCCCACTCTGGCGATAAGAAGTGAAGAGTCTGGCCCAGTCCATCTGCTCGAGGCCCAGTCTTAGCCCTCCCTCCCTCCCAGCGTGTACATGGGTATTACTTACTCATCCTTGAAGCAGGATGTGGGGAGGACGTGGGGACGCTGCGAGCCCACAGGGTGCAGGCGGGAGTGCTGGACTGGCAGTCCGGCCTGGGTCCAGCCCCACGGATGCCAGCCAGCCTCCTTGTGCTCATCTGGAAAGGAGAACAGTAACTGTGCAAGGCACTGGGCCAGGGATGTGCAAATGGTGCATGGTGTCCCCAGACCCGCTGTGCTGTGACACGGGGAAGGTCAGGCAGGCCTGGGGCCTGATGAGCAAGCACAGGAGGAAGGAAAACACCCTCCATCCTTTAGGGTTAGGCACCGGAGGGTGGCTCGTTGGCGCCACGCTCACGTCAGGCGGGGGGACTTCAGGGTCACTAGGCTGTAGGGGGCAATGCAGATTTCCATCACGTTTTCAAAGCAGTTCTTTTTTCTGCTTGGTAGCACTTTTATCTATATAAAAACCTTTATTTTGCTTTCAAGTGATTGCTTCAAACTTTCGGGTGCAAAGTTTGAGGGAAATCTTCCAAAGGTCCAAAGGATAAATGAAGGGTTCATAGAGTCATCAAACAACACTGGGCGCAAGCTTACCTCTGCGGGGCCGATCTCCGGGCGGCTCCCGTCCACACCTGCTATCTTTACACTGGAAGGAAAGAAAAGGCCCTGCTTCATCTCATTCGTATTTACAATGACAGCACTTGGTGTAATTATACTTGCTGTTTTATACATCAGAACAGGACAGTAAGATCATACAGTGCGAGGTCAATGTACAAAACGTTTCCTTGAACAAAAGGATTATCCTGGATATTAAATTCCCGAAAACAAAACAAACCAACCCCACAACAATCATTGTAAGTGGCACCGAGGCAGCTCAGCCCCACGTGAATTACTCTCCGTTATTGCCTGACATCCTACTCAATCCCCAGCCCCGAGTCAGGAATCCAAACTCGTAGCGATTATACGTGGAAAATCTGATGACAGTGTGGTCTCACATGGAATCCTTTTAGATGCTTCACTCTGACAAACCTTCTAGCAACTCTTTCATAATACAGAATCGTCCATCAGATGTGGGCTTTTCCTCTGTATTGTTCATGTGCAACTGTCTATGCCTATGACAAAATCTTCTCCTAGTTTTTTCCCTAAATTCGCCTTAGGGGACAGGCCTGGCCCCAACAAGCCAGGTCTCCAGCTCAGCCCTAGGCTGCAACTCGCGCTGGGAACCTCTGTCCAGTGGGATCACCGACGCAGCAGCCTTCTGCTGTCACCACACTGCATCCTCTGGGGACCCAGGTCCTTGAGAGCCGCGGTGGACCGGGCCTCCCTGGTCTCCGTGAGGAGGGTGGCTGGCTGGGAGGTGCTGCCGCTGTGTCGGCCGAGCTCTGGGCTGTCAGTCCCTACTGCCATGATGCCAAAGGCAGAGGGAGAGAGGACCTGGTTGGAGCCTCTGACAGACAAAGCAGCACCTTGTTCACGAGGCGTAGAAATAGGAAGTCTGCCCGCCCCCCCCCTCCTGCTCAAGCATCAGTGCTCCGATGTCAAGGAGGCCAGAAGAGTCCCCCAGGGCCTGGGCAGTGCCAGTCACAACACCTGGGTTTCCAGCCGTCGGACTTCCTTGACCACGAGATCGATGTTAATAATTGGGTTGAAGTACAGGGCCCAGTAAAATAAACAGTTGCAAACAAACTGAGGAATGAGGGGCCAGAACATGGCCACAAAAAGCCCCTGTGTTGATACTTTCCAAAAATGGTTCCACATCCTCTGAGGCACGGTCCTGTGAAAAGAAGAGAAGCATCTGAGAGGTGGAGTCGTGATGCCGTTTCTAACGACGGTGCCAAAGGGCTTGGGCCCCGGGCCTCCCCGCAGCGCGGAGCCTGGCGGCTTCCTTCCTGGCCCTGCTGCCCGAGGCGCGCCTCTGCCTGACCAAGCATCCTCAGCTCCCAGGATGGGGCTTGTGCCTGGCCCTGGTCCCCACAGCGGGGGAGGACCCTCCCCACCCCCGCCCCCAGGACAGCCCCACCTGCTTGGGTGCTGGGTCACACTTGTATGTGTTTAACGTCCGTGTTTTCTCTGTGAGGTTGTAGGCTGCAGAGTCCAGACTGTCTGTCTTCTTTACCAAAACATCTGCAGCGCCCAGCAGAGAGCTAGGGGCTGGGAGTGGGGGGGGGGGGGGGTGTCAATGAACTGTGAGCCTGAATATATCAACAGGAGGTTCCTGTCAGGTTTGGGGACTATTTAGAGGGCTGTTACTGACTGACGAGGCCAAGAACTCTGTGAGTCATGGGATGTTTAAAGCTGTAAGGATGTTGGCGTGCGGCTGTGTTTCTTCTGCCTGCCCAGAAGCCACCCGCCCCCCCTTCTCCTGGAAACACGTTCTGAGCTTTCCTTCCAGTGCCTCCTGCCCCTGTCTCTTCCACGTGGTCTCGGTGGAGCTGAAGCAGCCCCTGGCTGGGGGGCGAGGGCATACCCTGGCACTGGTGATGGGTCCGGTTGGGCATGGGACCCAGGCGGGGCCCGTCAGAGCTAAGGAGCGGGAGCCCCGAGACTGTAAGTGCTGCGGGGAAAGAAGTGTGCTCCCTCCAGCGGGGTCACTAAGCTGCTCCGATCCATGCCCGGAGTGACCATGGGCCCCGCGCGGAGAGAGAGCTGCCTGAGGGTGATCAACAGAGCTGAGAGCAGGGCTGCGAGAGGGAGAGGGTGAGTCCTGATGACAGCGTTTAGGTCTCTGGGTCCAGCCGTGCAGGAAGTCTTGGTGGGGTCTTTCTCTTTTTGGGAAAGCCAATTCAGGCTGGTTTCGATCACAGGCAACCAAGAGTCCCGACTCTGAATGGCTAGCCCAGGGCTCTCATTTCATGCATTAATCCCAAGAAGCGATTACTGTCCTGATCAGTGGCAGGATTAGAACTCAGGACCACGAATTCCTCACCAGATCTCTTTATGCTCTACTACTGTGCCCTTTCCATAAAGTACCCTCTTCCTCTCACTTACGTATTCCTTACTATGGTCCTTCATGCACACCTCCACCCCCAGAAGTACATGGTGTGTTATTTCATGGGGATAAAACACATGGAGACACTCTTGAATAGTGAGCACCACGAAAACTTCCCCACCCCCAAACATGAGGACCGTTTCCTAATTGCTGCTTTAAGCAGTGTTTCTAAACCGGGGCCCAAGGAGTGTTTCACGTTCACCTACTACTTCAAAGAGGACCCTTCCACCACTTGGTAAAAGTCTTTCTCAGTGCCCGCTGTTCCAGCCATCTCCAACCTAAAAACACACTTACTTCAGTTCACTTCTTGACCAGATCCTCCAAAAGGAGAATAATTCCAGAACCGAGAGTAACATGGCATTGACGATGAGAAACCGTGACGTCCAGTAATGGACCTCCAGCCAGTCCCAAGCAAATTCGGCAATCAGCTGGTACGGAAGGAAGGAGTACTTGACAAGGAATTCTCTCCACTGTTTCCATGTGGGCTCTCTAAGATCCTTTAAAATAACATAAAAATAAGCACAAGTGGACACAAAAAAAATTGTGAGGATTGACTTTTACAGAAAACTTTACATTTATGAAAACACCCACATACCCAACAACATAACAGGAAATTTCCAACCATCAGCTCACCTTATAATAACTAATCTTACACCGGACAAATGTTATCAAAGAAGCTGAAGACAGATGCTTCACATGTATGGAATGCAGGGGAAACCCGGAAGTAAAAAATCTAAGCATGAGTTATAAATAACGAGGTTGCAATGAATTGAAATTAGGACAGTTTTTAAATTTCTTCCTCACTGCATGGGTAACTCAGACAATTTTCTAAATCTGACATCTTAGCTGCCTTGGAATGATAACAGATCCTGGGAAAATTAAACATACACTTTGAAAAAGTAATTTTGGGGAAAATAAAAAGCCCTAACTACAGATATTAGCAAACAATTAACCAGAGTATTTAAACAACTCATGGAGGCATCCAGAAGGCTTACAGAAACTACATATTGCAAGAAGAAAGTGAGTATGCTGAGTGGGCAGGGGTTGCTGGGGCTTGTTAGAATGGAACGGTAGGGAGGTCTCTGGCTTGCAGTGCAGCGAGGACAGGTAACAGCAGGAAACGGGATAATGAGATAAACACTATGCATAGCGGCTTATCAGCAGGCTTTAAACTACATCCAAGGCTCAAGTCAGTTAGGGAGATGCTTGACAAGTACTTTAAAAAGGGTCTTTGGAGATTTAGGAATCCTGTTTTAATATTTATGGGTCTGGATCACATGACGATTCCTAGAACCATGTGACTTTTGATTTCAACAGATCAAAGGGACTGCCCCAAGGGCAGGAATGCGAAGGACATCACCTGAAATGACCAACCAGATACACAGAAATCACTGAGTGGGATCCACCCGCCATTCTGGAGGACTCCGTGGATCAAACTGAAGACACGATAGCCAAGGTGGGCAACTATCCCTGCCAGGGGCCTGTGCCAACTCCCATCACCGAGGTGGATGAGGCTTACTTTCCTGAGGCCACTGGGACGGATGCTTACCCTGCCCTGTGGGAGGATAAACCATCATCCTTTGGGGATTCTCTTGACAGACAGGTGGCCAAGCTGGGAGGTCCGCAGATCTAACCCTCGGGCAATCCAGACCTAGGCTATCTTCTTTTAGAACAAAAGCAATGCTGTTTCTTCCCCCCTAAATATTTCAGGTCCAGAAGGTAGCCCCTCTTGCTGTGTAATGCAGGAAATAAAACCAGCTTCTGGAAGTGGGGAGGGTCTGCTTTATGTTCTCTTACAGGGTTTCTCCTTGCAAGAAAAAAACGAAGGCGGGGTGCTGTTGGCTCTTCCATGACAGCTACAGTCCCGTCTGTAATTCCAGACCACACTGAGGGGTGGCAGAGTAATTCCATTCAAGGCGCCCTGCAGACCTACCAGAAGCCTGGTGATGATGTCCTCCCCAGAACTGTCTTCTTGCAGCGGGCAGATGGTGTGGATAAAGGGTAGGAAGGTGTCCTTGTAGTCAAATAGATAGAGGTACAGCAGACCGAGTCTTGGGGAGCTCTTGAGGGCATACAGCAGGAACAGGGACCTGCCTGGGTTCACAGCCTGCAGAGGACAAGGCGGGTACAGGGCCCCGTTACAACAGAGGCGGCCGGCTCCCCAGTTGTGCTCCTTCAACAGTCTCACGCCCTTTGCCATCAGCCTTTCTTGTGTAGTTTTCACAATGGATGGATGGATGGATGGATGGATGGATGGATGGATGGCAAGAAGAGTCCAAGTATCAGTACGTTGGGCTACATTTAATAAAGACCCAGTGTTCCTCCATGGCTTTTGTAGGAGGGGTTGTGGGGAGCTGAGATACACACTCCTAGGCACTGCCAGTAAAACCCAACCTTTCTGGAAAATAATTTTGTAAACCATATTAAAGAGCCTTAAAAATGTTCACTTTAGAGGCACCTGGGTGGTTCAGTTGGTTAAGCATCTAACTCTTGGTTTCAGCTCAGGTCCCGATCTCAAGGTTGTGAGATCGAGCTCCTGCATCGGGCTTCACGCTCAGTGGGGAGTCTGCTGTGATTCTTCCTCTCTCCCCCTCTGCCCCCTGCCCCTACCGTGTGCTTTCTCTCTCTCAATAAAAAAAATTAAGAAATGAGAGAATCACAGTATCACCGTTTTGCAAGTAAAGAATCAATGATCATGGTGGCGGCCACCGTCAGAAAGAAACAATCAGATATCATGAGCCTCTTGATGGAAGAAGATGCCACCACATAGGAAGCAGTCTTGTCAAATACCTAAACCAATGCAAGCTTCCAGATTTAACTACTGGATTATGGGATATGCAGGAGACAGCAGAACCTGTCAGGTGACACCACAGAGAGACAATCAGCCAAATTCAAGATGTGGGGAAACTACAGCCAAAACTATCTCGTTTTCATAAACAAATAAATGCAGGTAACGAAAAGAGGGAGGGAGAATCCACACACTACAAGAGACTTGAGAGACACGATAACCAAATGTAGACCTTGCTTCGAACAAATGGACTAGAAGAAAAAAGTATGCAGTACATTTAAATACTGACAAGTTATTCGATATCAGGGAATTTAGTTTTTTTTTTTTTTAAAGTTTAAAAAAAGATTGTATTTATTTATTTGGGAGACAGAGAGTGAGAGAGAGCATGAGTTGGGGGGTGGGGGGGAGGAAGGGGAGAGGGAGACACCGACTCCCTGCTGAGCTGGGGGCCCCAGACACGGAACTCGATCCAGGACCCTGGGATCACGACCTGGGCTGAAGACAGAATGCTTAAGTGACTGACCCACCCAGATGTCCCCAGTTTTGTTTCTAAAGGAGTCTTTACTTTTTAGAGATTCGCAATGAAATATTTACCTAAGAAAAATAAGGTATCTTAGATTTTCAAAAGTCAGGGGAGGGAGTAGGTGGGGGGATCACGGAAATAAACATGACTGTAAGTTGCTGCAGCTGGTAAGGGTACTTGGCAGTTCTGTACCGTCATCCTACTCTTACGTATGTTTGAAATTTTCCATAGTAAATATCACTGCAGCCTAACGTAGGTGAGAAAGAGACATGTAATTCATCATTCAAAAATGTTTCCCAACCTGGTTTTTTTTTTTATTATCCCCTTTTAAGGAGACTTTTAAAAACATTTTTTTCTTTTTTTCATAATCCTGCCTCCCCATGAAATGTGAATACCACAGATAAACTATACACCTGTTTTTGCACTGTGGTCTGTTGGAGGGGGTCACAAATCACAAACTATTTAAGACTTTTTAAATTCTTCACCGCCTCCACCAACCAATTGCCTTGGGGCCAGTACTGTTCTTGTCGAGCATTCAAGATCTAAAGGAGAAATGGTCCCGGAAATAAAGTCAAGAGTATGGCCAGCCACATCACGGTTAGTACAAGAGAGAGGGAGATGAGCAGGTGACCTATTTGTGGGTCTGGGGTCAGTGTGAGTGCTGAGCCAGTGCGCATGCTTGGCTACTTCCTATCAGGAAGGAAGGAAAAGCCACCACCCTCGTTATGATGAGAGCACTTCAACGGGGAGCTGTTTCTCCCATGTCTACTGAGAACAGAAAATGCACCCGGACACTAGGGCTGGAAGAATCTTATCACCTTGGAGAACTGTCAAATGGCCAAACCCGGGGAGCGGGGAGGTGTGGGTGCTGGCAGCCTTGAAGATCTGAAGGAGCCAACTGATAAGATTCTGCCTGGGTCCAGAATTGCGTTCCCATTTGCTTGGGTTAATAGTAAGATTACTTTTATGTATTTTAAATAAAGGGTCAGCAGTAATGCAAAAAGCAACAAATCTTCTATCTCTATGCCCATTCTTCAAAAATTCTGAAACGAGTGTTTTTTTAGTTTTAAAATACTATGTGTACATGGTCAACACAACGTATTCCAAATGGCACAGAAATGTATTGACAAATAAAATTCTCCCTTCTGTCCAAGTATCAATCCCCAGAATGAAAACGAAAACTTTAACAGTCTGTGTATTCTCTGCATAGGCAAACATAAAGATACATACAAATTGTGCCTATTTTCCAATGCGCTTTTCTGTATTTGCAGTTAACAGTGTGACCTGGGCTCTGTTCCTTACTGGGACACCCAGAGTCCCCACCTCCTACCTTCTTCTGTAATGGCTGCACGTACGGCTGTGCCCTCCTCACTTAACCTGTCCTCACTTAACCAGCTTCACTGGTTTTCCACGTGCTGCTATTACCAAAGATGTGGTGGTAAGGGTCTCCTTGAACGATGTTTGGGGATTCAGAGCAGTTCTCACTATGACTCTATGAAGTCACTTACTGAGGAGATGGGCACATGGAGCCCAGGTGCCTGCTGCTGGTCCACATCCAGCGTGCCCTGGAGGAGCCCAGTGAGGAGCGTGGCCGTCCTGCCCTTGACCCCCAGACCAGGCTGCCTGTGCTCTAAGCGCAAAGAAGTGACGCCACAGGTCACAAGATAGGTGTGGTTTAAATTTTAATAGTTATTGATAAACTCCTCTCCACGGAGACCGCACCAGATTTAGGATGCACAGAACACACGAGTGTCTCTTTCCTTTGATTATGATGCTCTTATCCCTGACAAGACCAGACGGGTGAAAACGACACCATCTGCTTACCTCAGTCTGCGCTTCTTTAATTATGAGTGAGAATTCTTTCCCCGTGGACTTAGGGGCCATTTGTAATTACTTTTCTCCATGCTGCCTTTTTTAGGCTCTAAGTCTATTTTATAGTAAAACGTGTTAGTTTTACGGTCCAGTATTTGCTGAAATCCTCTCTGTGGTGCAGGCACGGTGAAGAATGGTTTATCTGCAGCTCGTACGTCTGGAGATGTGTACTGCCTGGGAGCTAGCAAGCCCGTTCCTCAGTATGTAACATCAAGCATAAGAACGTCCAAAGAATTTCCAGAGCAGCACTGTGTCTAACAGCGAACATGGAAAGAACCCCAGGTTCACTGACAGCACAAGGCCTCAACGAGCATATGCTTGAAAGAGAAAGTGAGTGAACTGGGGCCAGAGAGGTAAAAGCTACTTGCAGAAGGACACGCTCGGTTCATGGCCCTTCCGTGAAGGTGAGGGACCCGTGAAACAATGCTCCTTGTGCCTGCATACGCAACCCCCGACACAGGTAGGGGAACGTGCCCAGTAAGGACCCCCGGCTCAGCGGCAGGAGGGTGGGGAGCTGGGGGGTTGAGGGGTGGCTGTGATGTTTTCCTAAGCAGTGGGCATGCCAATGAGAGAGAGGCTATTCTCTGTATTTTTCTGGATTAAAAAAAATTAAGAGTTCACCTTATATTCCCAGAGATTTTGAGGAGGCTTCACACCTAGGGCTTTGACACGCTCCAGTTCCAGGAGGATGGCTCTTCTGTGGCTGCTGTTTTCTATGGTATATGGCGCCCTCGAAAATTCTTCCTCTGTCAGGGTTAAAAGCAACCTGTCGGGGAGGGGGAGCAGCAGGGGGAGATTGCTTTTGAGATTATGTACTGGAGGCAAACTCACAGTCAGTCTTACATCCTATCAGCACAAATGCTTTAGCCTTGAGTAAGCTAAGACACTTAGTATAGGACACAACAGTAGTAACAGCAAACCACTGAAAGCTTAGTGACTCTGAAACCACCTGCACAAGTCATCACTGATCCATTTAATAATTCTGCCCAGTATGTGGCATGATGGCCGTTTTGTGGCTGAAAAAATGGCTTGGAGGAATATAGTGGCTCAGTCAAGGCACAGTCTGGTCTCTTTGGCACCTCATCTCTGATTCCTGCCCCCCCGCCCAATACATAGGCTGACCTCTCACATACTGCCCTGATTTTCAAAATGTGTATCTATGGGGAAAAAAAAAAATTGGAAAGAAATCCAATAAAATGTTCTGATTTTGAGAGTAGCTGTTTGGGGGTAGTGATTTCGTGGGGAATTTGGAAACATTTATCAAAGTTGGAAAGGTTTATGTGCTTTGACCCAGAAATTCTAGTTCTAGGAATCTATCTTCTGGAAGGAAGGCAATTACGCAAACATGTATTCAGTAGGTAGGGAAAAAAATTTTTTTTAACCACAATTGGGGAGAGGCGCTAATTCTTACAAAAAACAGATGATTCAAGTGGGAGCATTTGGTTTTCCCAAAGGAGGGTCAAGCACTGAAAACCCAGTTTCAGAGGGCAGTGAGTAGACGGCTGTCCAGGACAAGCAGATTGTGGCCCCTCTTAGCACTTCGTGGTGAGCTAAGTACTATCCCTACACAGTCCCTCCGGGGAAGGAAAGACTCCAATAAAGATGGACAGTGCTCTGGAAGGGGTTGAGGGCGAGGGGATATGCTGATGGGCAAGAGGCAGGCCTCCCCACAGGCTGCCAATTGATTGTGGGAGTTCCCTGTATCAGAGCATTTCCTACAACATTGCTTGGAATTGCCTGGAACGGGAAAAAGGAAACCACTCAGATCTGTTCTGGTAGAGATCAGTTAAACAGACTCCGGTATATACACACACATGCATATATATATACACATATATAAACACAGGTCTGCTTGGTATAATTATATTTTCAGTTTAGACAAGTAAATAATACACCTTTATGTGTACCTCTCTATAAACATGGGAAAAAAATCTGGGAAGATGTCCAGAAAGATGACAAACAGAGGTTTTCCCCAAGGAGTAGAATTCTGATGCTATTTTACTTCCGATACCTTCTAGTTCTACATCCTTATTTTTAAGGATGTAGTAAATACCTGCTTCTCTTATAATAAAAAAGCAACAAACAAAATATCATTACATAAAATGGCTTAGCTGCTTTGGAAAAACAATTTGGCGGGACGCCTGGGTGGCTCAGTTGGTTAAGCAGCTGCCTTCAGCTCAGGTCATGATCCCAGCGTCCTGGGATCGAGTCCCACATCGGGCTCCTTGCTCGTCAGGGAGCCTGCCTGTTTCTCCCTCTGCCTCTGCCTGCCATTCTGTCTGCCTGTGCTTGCTCTCTCTCCCTCTCTGACAAATAAATAAAATCTTAAAAAAAAAAAAAAAAAAAAAAAAAAGAAAAACAATTTGGCAGCTCCTCAGAAAGTTAAACAGAAGGGGTTACTTCATGACCCAGCAATTCCACTCCAAGAGAGTACTGAAAGGGCAGGTCTACACAAAAACCCGTACACCGAGGATCACAGCGGCACTGCTCGTAACAGCCCCCAAATGGAGCCAACCCAAGTGTCCAGCCGTGGAAGGATGGACACACAAAATGCAGGTCAGGCGCAAACTGGAATATTACTCAGCCATAAAAATGCACAAAGTATGGACACCTATGACAACTTGGATAAACCTTGAAAATACTCTGTGAGGGGAAAAAGCCAGAACTAAAAGGTCATGAATATTGTCTGGTTCCATTTATACAAAATAGTCTAAACAGGCAAATCCATCGAGACAGCAAGGAGAATGGTGGTCGCCGGGGAAGGAGGCGGGCATTTTGAGGACTGCTGGCAAGAGGAAGACCTTTCTTTTGGGGGTGATGAAATGTTCTAAAACTAGACTGGGGTGACGGCTGCAGCCATCCATGCAGGTACTGAATACCATGAGTTGCATACTTTGGATAGGTGAATTTTATAGTCTGTGGATTACATCTCAATAAAGCAGCTTAAAAAAAATGTCCAAATATCTTGCTTCTCACCTTCCATTTACTCTTTCCGCTAAAAACCTGTCTCTGTAGAGAGAGGCCCACGGGCCCAGCTGCTCCAGCCAGAGGACAACTTCTTCTGCTGTCCACTTGGCCACAGCCTTGTGGACCAGGAGGTCGTGCTCAGATTCCCTGCTGCTCCAGTGGTACACGAGCAGGACCACCTGGAGAAGAGGGAGGGCCCGTAACATACAGAAAGGTCAGGAGGACGGCTTCTCCATCTCAGTGTGGGGCAGGGGAGGGAAGGGGCTGAGCATGAAGGGAATGATGCCACGCCAGTATGAGGAAGCAAAGAGAGCCAGGGAGCAGAACTCTTGGTGTGGGGCAGCACTCACTGCTGGGGGTGAGGACATGAGGGAACAGAACTCAGCACTGCACCCTTGACCCCAACATCTTGGCCGAGATAATGGACTTATCATGTGCTCTTTTTGCTGGAAAATGTGTAACTTTTAAATTGTTGTAGCATGGAACTGAAAAGAAGATGGTCTCTCCATGGGATGTTAGTAAAGTGCCGTGCTTGAGCCTGGACCAGCAAGGTAGACATGGTCTTGCATCCCAGCTCTAACACCTTCCTGCATTGGTCTCTTCACCTCTAAAATGGGAACAACAGGGGCACCTGGCTGGCTCAGTCAGTAGAGCAGGTGACTCTTGCTCTCGGGGTCATGACTTCAAGCCCCATGCTGGGCATGGAGCTTATGTGAAAAATAACGATAATAATAATAAAAAGAAATAAAGAGATAAAATGAGAGTAATAACGGTGGCTACTGCAGAGGTTATGAAGAGCATGAAATGGAACAAAGCTAACAATAACTGAGCTCTGAATGTGAGGGGGACTACGCCTGGACGCAGCAGCCCCGAAGAATCACGTGACCCGGCTGATCTCGATGCATGCACTGAATCATCGCACGAGGTACGCCATCAATTTCAACGGGATTGACTTCAGTGGAAACTGTGGGGGCCTGGGGGGCGCGGAGAAACACACTGATAAACTTACTGCCACACCAGTTAAAGCGGTGAGCACCCCGGAGAAGAATCCCCCACCTCTCTGTGGATTCGCTCGGCCTGTGTTCCGAGCTAAAGGAACCTGATCGTGCCCGTATTTCTGAAAGGCTGCAAGACTCTGGACTATGTCATTATTCTGGTGAATGTCTTCATGTCGCTTTTTAATGGCATCAGGAAATAATTTTTCAATGGCATCCCTATGGAGAATAGTAAAAAAAAAAAAGTCACACAGTTGTTTGTCTAAATCTTATAATATCTAGAGGCTAAAATCAAACTAACAGCCGATATTTGATAATATACAAGCACTTTAGAAGAATGGATAAGAAGGCTGGTAACAGCAAAAAATGAGAAACAACTTACAGGTTCGTGGTTAGAGAAATAGTCAAATAAAAACGTGGTCTATTCACAGAATGGAATGCTACATGGTTTTAAAAATGAATTTACTAGGTATCACTTGTATCTAGGTGGATAAGTTTAAGACATACATATTGTTGAATGAAAATAGTAAACTGTAGAACCACCACTGATGTGAGGAAATGTTTGCATTTCCTACTGGCACACATATGTATAAAAATATTTTTAAAAATCTGAAGGATATCATAACTAAGTCATAACTGAAATGACTCTGGGGAAAAAAGAAAGGAAGGATGGCAAAATGGGGAAGGAGAGGTCAAAGGGGTCTTTATTTAACTTTATCAGTAATAACTCTAATTTATTCTTAAAAAGAATATAAACAATTGAAGGTATCTATGTATTGCTTATGTTATTAAAAATTAATTCATAAAAAAGAAAACACGTGGAGTTGAGTAGTAAGAGGAAGACCATTAAGTCCTACTAAAGGGCTCCCCATTTTTAATTACACATAATCGGAGAATCTTCCTACAGTTTAAGATCAACCTTCAGGTAAACCAGGCTGACAGGTGAGAGCAAAGTGTCTGTAAATGTATTGCCGATGAAAAAGAGAATGTTAGGTTAATGTTTTCAAGGAACTTTCTGGTACTCTGTTGGTAGCAAGAAGGCAAGAGAAGGAGAACAAGGATTTTATCCTCAAAGACCTCACAGGTACATTATAAATATTATGGGCAGAAGCAGAAAAGAACCTACCATCTGAAAGGCTTTACCATTTGTTTACAAGACTATGCATGAGAAGCTACCGCTACTGATATGAACACTGGAACAGAGTTTAGTCAAAGATGAAGAAAATTAGCATCATATTGATTTGTACAGAACTGTGCAGTTATACCACTTTCTCTGTTAGACCTAGGGTGTCCTTGGTGGAAACAAATCAATAAAAAGTGTTACATGACAAAGGATTATAAGCAATGGTCTGATACTCAGAATTTTTTTTTCCCCTTTATGATAAACAGTAACCGGTCATGGTCCCCTGTGAGGAAGGGATCTGCAGTCCTTGAGCCCCCTGACTCACATCGTTCTAGATCTAGGACGACCACAGCGGCGGCGGGGGGGCGGCTCTGCGCGTCTGGCCCCCTCAAACATGGCCGCTCCCATGAAGAGAAAACACACTGTGCAAGTGGATGCACCACTGATATGGACTGAGCATTACCTGAGGAGAATATTGACTTTGGGGAAACCTTCCCATTTTTCTCTGCATTCCGGACACTCTGTTTTCTTTGAAGAGGCCCACCATAAAGCTAGGCAGTGCCGGCAGAAGCTATGCCCACAGTTCAAGGTGGTGGGGTTAACCAGGATGTCGTAGCAGCAGTGGCAAGAAAATTCACTAACGGAAATCTGAGGGCTGGTGCTCTGGAGGGGGTCACCATTCTCATGGGTCATTGTGCTCAGATCGTTGTGTGGAGGCTCCTCCATCTCTTAGCAAATTCTGAGATCCACAGGCACAGAAAGCTTCAGACTTAGAAAAATGTTACAGAGCATCATTAAATCTAGAAAAAAAAAAAAGACAAAAACAGAACTAGGACAACTAGTTTAGCAGGTGTTTGAGATTACTGCCATTCTATTAAAGCTAATTTTTAAAACATTTTTTAAAAAATTTATTTGACAGAGAGAGATCACAAGTAGGCAGAGAGAGAGAGAGAGAGAGAGCGAGCGGGAAGCAGGCTCCCCGCCGAGCAGAGAGCCCGATGTGGGGCTCCATCCCAGGACCCTGAGATCATGACCTCAGCCAAAGGCAGAGGCTTTAATCCACTGAGCCACCCAGGCGCCCCAAAGCCAATTTTTAAAGGTAACCAATATAATGTCTAAAAATTCACATTCTATAAACCAAATAAACCGTCGCTGAATTTCTTTCTGCTCTGTCATACTTCTGAAAATCAGGTGAAGTGAAACAATGCAGTGGAAAGTTTGATGGACTTGGGGGCGGTGGGGAGTTCTAGACCCTTCTCTTCCACTAACTTACTTAGAAAAATGTAATTCCTCTGGCCTCAGTTTTCCCAATTGAGTTTCTCAAGTCCTTTCACATGTATGATTAAAAAACAACAGCTTTTTTGGGTTAGTAAAATGTCTGGAGTTGGCCAAAACACATGTCCTTCAGGTAAATAAAGACTTTTTTTATAAAAAAAAAAAAAAATCTGCCTTCTTGCTAGGTAATCATTTCATAAACATGTGATTGCAGAGGCTCCCACAGATACAGTACCAAAATGGTGAGTGAACCCTTGTTTTCCTAAATGCCCTGTGTCATGTCAACTCCCCTGGGGTTCAATCCATATCAGTCTGAAAACGTCACACCCTCTGGACTTGGCCAATTTGGCGCCACAGGAACATGCTAATGTTGCCGATAAGCAAAGAGCAAAGGACCATGCTCTTCTCTTCCTTATGTGGATCTTAGGAGATTGTTTAATGGAGAGGCAGTATGGCGCAGAACACCACGGAGGTAGAATTCCAGCTCTTTGATCATGTGCTCTGTGACTATGTTTAAGTTACTTGAGCTCTCTGAGCCCTGTGTTCTCAGTGGTGAAATGGTGGTTAACAGAAAACTTCAAGGCTTCTTGTGAGCATCAGAGACTGAAAGTAAAGTGGCAAGGATGGTGTAAGGTGTCAACAGGGGCTGAGGAAATGATTATTCACGCTGTCCCTAGCATTACAACAGTAGAGATGCTGGCGGGTAAGGGTTTCTCCACCTGGCTATTGTGAAGACAAAGGAAGTCAATCACCCACAGTGGTTACGCAGAGAGGGCTCTTCCCACTTTCCGGGGTGCAGTGGTTAGGAAACTGGCTCCAGGGCAGGGCTGCCTTGCGCCCTCTGCCATTCACTAGCTGCGGGGACTGGACTTCTTGGAGACTCAGCTTCCTCGTGTTGAAGTGGGGGTGGTAATAGCATTTAGCCCCACGGAGAAGGTTTAAGAATAAAACATGAAAATGCAAGTGAAGTGCCTTGTCCAGAGTCTGGCATGTGGTAAGTAAACCAAGTAAAGTAGCAATTCACCTGCTTTTCAAATACAGCCATGAGGGGCGCCTGGGTGGCTCAGTGGGTTAAAGCCTCTGCCTTCGGCTCAGGTCATGATCCCAGGGTCCTGGGATCGAGCCCTGCATCGAGCCCTGCATCGAGCCCTGCATCGGGCTCTCTGCTCAGCAGGGAGCCTGCTTCCCCTCCTCTCTCTCTGCCTGCCTCTGTCTACTTGTGAGCTCTCTCTCTGTCAAATAAATAAATAAAATCTTAAAAAAAAAAAAAAGTCAAATACAGCCTATATCGCCTTTTACTTATTTTATTTATTTATTTTTATTTTTATGATTTTTTAAAAGATTTTTATTTATTTATTTGACAGAGAGAGAAATCACGGGGCGCCTGGGTGGCTCAGTGGGTTAAAGCCTCTGCCTTCGGCTCAGGTCATGATCCCAGGATCCTGGGATGGAGCCCCACATCAGGCTCTCTGCTCCGCAGGGAGCCTGCTTCCTCCTCTCTCTCTCTGCCTGCCTCTCTGCCTCCTTGTGATCTCTGCCTGCCAAGCAAATAAATAAAATTAAAAAAAAAAGAGAGAGAGAGAGAGAGAAAGAGAAATCACAAGTAGGCAGAGAGGCAAGCAGAGGCAGAAAGAGGGGGAAGCAGGCTCCCCGCTGAGCAGAGAGCCCGATGTGGGGCTCGATCCCAGGACCCTGAGATCATGACATGAGCCAAAACCCAGAGCTGGATGCCCAAGTGATTAAGTTACCCAGGGGCCTGGAACTGTATCACGTTTTACAGAGTGATGCATAATACTTACACAGAGCACTAGATTTTAAGCAAATCTGGGGGCACCTGGGTAGTTCAGTCAGTGGAGCGACTGACTCCTGGTTTCTGCTCAGGTCGTGATCTCAGGTCCCAAGACCGAACCCAGCGACAGTTGGTGCTCAGGGCAGAATCCGCTTCAGATCTTTTCCCTTTCAACTCAAAGAATAAACACAACTGAATTTCAAACTCAGTGTTAAAGTGGAATAGAGATTCCTCATCAGTATTAAAAAGATAATTAAGTAAAGATAAAGTTAGAAGATTAAATATAACGTATAAAATTTTTAAATATAGTAATTAAACTAATATGCTATTCATAATAATAAGTAACAGTAAACAGGGGAACAACTTCTGTAGAGGCCCAAACTTTTTTTGGGGGGCGCCTGGCTGGCTCAGTTGGTGTAGCATATGACTCTCGATCTCGGGGTTGTGAATTAGAGCCCCATGCTGAATGTAGAGGTTACTTAAAAATAAAATCTTAAAAAAACCCCAAAACTGTTCTTTTTGGAAGAATTCAAATAAATATTCTTAATGACAAATTAAATAATTTCTGATAATCAGTCATATTTATTATTTGTATTTTGAGAAACATTAAAAAAATACCTAAGTGCTTTCCTTTGGGCTGTCTCTTCAAGTTGTTAAGGAAGTGGGAGATCTTATCCAGTTTTCTAGAAAAAGGAATCATTGTGATAAAGTAGTTCCTTTATCTGGCTAGTGCTGATTAAACAACTGCCATGAGAACATTATCCCAGGAAATAATAATTGATCCGCTGCTATTTATTTATTTGCTTATTATTATTATTTAAAGGTTTTACTTATTTGAGAGAGAGGGATTGAGCGCATGCGTGGGGGTGTGGAGGGGCAGATGGAGAGGGACAAGCAGACTCCTGCCAAGCAAGGAGCCTGACATAGGGCTCAATCTCAGATGCCTGAGATCATGACCTGAGCCAAAGGTAGACGCTTAACCAACAGAGCCACCCAGGTCCCCCGAACCACTGCTATTTATTGAGCCTCTCCTGCGAGCTGGGCATTGGGTAGGCCCTTTACGTACATTTAGGATCTCATCTGGATTCAGGGTCAGAGGAAAGATCCTGAGGCTCCCAGTGAGGACTGGGCAGGAGGTCAGAAAAGAACCTGACTTGGGCACTGCTGTCAGAGTCTCCATGGGGAGCAGCAAGTGACCCAGAGCTACAGGTCTGATTCCGGGTCTTATGTGCCTAGTTAATGACAGGTGGGCCAACAGGAACACATAAAGGTTTCTGGGGCAACGAGATCAGCAAAGCTGTGCTTAAGGATGATAAATCCCCTAAGGAAGGAGGGCCAGACTAGGATAGCTTAGAAATAAAATGTTTACCACTTCTGGGACGAAGGTGACAAAAAATGAAAACAGCAAAGGAATGACAGGTGATAAAGGATCAATGTAGCTGAGAGATGTTTAGAAAATAATTTATGGGGCACCTGGGTGGCTCAGTGGGTTAAGCCTCTGCCTTCGGCTCAGGTCATGATCTCAGGGTCCTGGGATCGAGTCCCGCATCTGGCTCTCTGCTCGGCGAGGAGCCTGCTTCCCCCTCTCTCTACCTACTTGTGATCTTTCTGTCAAATAAATTTAAAAAAAATAATAAAATCTTTAAGAAAAAAGAAAATAATTTATGGGCTCTGATGACTAGAGAGAAGGAATGATCAAAGATGCTGCCTATGTGTCAGAGCTAGGAAGAAAGGTACTGTGATAGAAATGGGTCACTGTGAGCACATGGGGCCAATCTTAGAAAGAAGTGGAATTTTAGAAAACTTAAGTTTGAGGTGATAAGACTTGCAAGTAGAATTGTCTAGTAAGCAGCTGGAGACACAAAACTGTAGCTGGGAGTTAAGAATGAGGCCAAGCATATTCATTTCAGAGTAATTTGCAGAGAAATGACAATATGTATTGAAATTCATTTCTTACCAATTAGCCTTTTATTTATTTGTTTTTAAAACAATTTTTTAAAAGATTTTATTTATTTATTTCACAGAGAGAGAGACACAGTGAGAGAGGGAACAGAAGCGGGGGAAGTGGGAGAGGGAGAAGAAGGCTTCCTGCTAAGCAGGGAGCCCCATGCAGGGCTCAATCCCAGGACCCTGAGATCATGACCTAAGCCGAAGGCAGATACTTAATGACTCAGCCACCCAGGCACTTCTCTTTTATTTATTTTCTAAAAGATATTATTTGTTTATCTAAGAGAGAGAGAGCAAATGCCCATGAGTGGGGGGTAGAGGCAGAAGGGGAGAGAGAAGCAGGCTCTCTGCTGAGCAGGGAGCCCAATGCAGGGCTCGATCCCAGGACTCTAGGATCATGACCGAGCCAAAGGCAGACGCTTAATCGACTGAGCCACCCAGGCGCCCCAAGACCCAAATTTTTATTCAGAAACCACAGCTCTTCAGAATGACTCAGCCTCAGAGGCTGGCTGTACTCTTCAATTCTGTGGTATTCAACCTGTCATTTCAAACTTGTCTCTGTTTGCAGTTTTGCAGACTTTTCCAAACTCAGGCGTTCTTCCCCCTTAATTCTGAACTAGGTAATTAACACCTGTCACTTCATGTGACGCTTAAACACAAACCAAAGTGTATCCCTGGGAACAGGGCACAGGGGGTGGACAGTGGAATGGATCTCCTCCCCCAGTCCTCTCTGGAGCCTCAGAGACAGGGAGAGAAGACAGTAGGCGACAGGGACATTCTAATGCTTAC